TCCCCTTCTTCGCTCACACACACACACACACACACACACACACACACACACACACACACACACACACACACTCACTCCGCAAATCATGTGCTTTGCCACGTGGCCGTGTGGCAGTAAATGATAGTACAGTGTGTTCCTTCACTCCTGGATGCATGTACCCCTGTACAGCTTTGAATTCTCACACAACGGTTTTCATATGAACACACACTCTCAAACTCACACCAGAAAACAAAGACTACGCAATATGCTCAAAATCCTAACTCTGTGTTTTTCATCCAGAAACAAAGCTGCTAAACCAAACTCGCACATACCATGGAAACAATGGAACTCATTGCATTTATTTATTTCTCTCTTTTATGAAACAGAGGCTTACATTTATCATTCTGATAGAACTGATTTACAATCCTACACCATAAACTACACATCTACCTACGCATGGCACATTTGGGATTCCAATGAAATGCACATCCAAATGAAATGCATGTTAAACTTATCATATAAATAATTTTATTCAAGGTTTGTTTATTCAGTTGTTTGCCTGGTCGCATTTATATAGAACTCTATTGCAGTGCAAATTACACCATACTTTTGAATCTTCCATGAGCATAAATAGATAACTAATTTAATAGAAACCTGAATATATAAAGCTGTAATGCCAAACAACACTGCAACTTTTTAATAGTTATATCAACACACATATAACATAAAGTGGTTTAGACACTAGAATCGATCAGAAATTTGCAGTAGCATCATGCAATTCATAAATTGACAATTTTTGTGCAAATCGTTCGCATTACCATCATATGTCACCCAGCGAATGATAATGCATGTGATACTGTAGATTATATAGATGGATGGATATGCAGGAAACATGCCAGAAAGGAAAAAAGATGATGCCATCAACTCTCTTGCATCATTATCAATGTGTTGAATATGATGAGTGGTAATCTGAGATCATAAACACTGCATGCTAAACAATGTGAAGTGTGATTCAAGGTCAAAGTGGCTATTTCAGTACATTAACTGCTTACTTGCAAAAAGAGCCATACGTTTAACATGATGAAAAAGAACATAATTTTTTTTTCAGTATGACCATCATTTTCAAGTAAAGCACACTGAATAATGCTGAAAGTAAGACAGCGAGAGAAAGGGTAGACCTGTCTGTCTGATGTAAATTAGTGTCTGCATATAGGTTGTATTTAGCCCTCAAGGGACTGTCTCGGCACATTTCCTCCATGCAGACATGCTGACAGACGCTTCATGTGTGCAGATATGCTGCATGTCAAATGGATGCTATCACGCTCAGCTTAAGGAAACATTAGCCAGTAAAGTACACTGATTTCTGCACAGGCCTGCGGCTTCTGTCCTGATGGAGACCATGTGGAGATGGAACAGAGAATGAGTGCTGCTACATTAGTTTCTGATGTCTTCTAGGGAATAGTGATCTACGGACGATATATAACATCTGCGTAGACTAAAGTTTTTGGGCAGTTGAAAAAATGTAACACTGAGCGGTATTATACTTTTAATTATGGTTCAGCATTGTTGTATGTAGAGTTGTGTGTATTTCCTGTCAGTGGTGTTAACACTGGTGCTTGAGGACACGTCTGTCTCTTATTCCCTCTGCTGCAGTAACCAAGCTGTGCGAATGCTGGAATGTAAGGAGAAGCCCACACCTGACATGTTTGGAGAGCTTCTTCGCAACGCCAGCACCATGGGTGACCTGCGAAACTGTCCGGTGAGTACATGCATGCATACACGTCTAACTGCTGTTTTTTTCTAACTTAACGTTTTTCATGCTTCTCAATAAAATTTTCATATCTGTTTTTTTTAGATAGTTTAATGTGTAAAGAATTTGAGTAATAGCTCAATGTGCCACCTACAAATCAGTGTCCGATGCTTGAGAAGGAGGCTACAGCTTTATGACTGTAGGGACTCTGAACATGTGGGTGATTTCATTGCCAATTCAAGGGACCGGAATGTCTGCGGCTGACCAGAGAAATGTTGAGAGGCGTACGGTTTTTTTTCCTCATGAGAAAATGAAGACAATGTGTTAAGAAAACAAGACAGAAAAAAGGACCTCTTAATGCTTGATTTTTTAATGAATTTTAATTATTAAATGAAATTAATTTATTTTGTGAGAATAAAGACACTGTGGAGTGAAACAAGAGACATGAAACAAGCATATGGAGGACTAGGAGTAACACTTAAAATAAAATGAAGAAATAATAAATGTCTTAGATGCTTTTCTTTGTTGTTTTGTCAAATGCTTTTCTTTATCCATTTCTAAGCTGAGTAAAAAAAAAAAGTAATTGGACGGTTCTCTTGTTGGGGTAACCAGTTTTGACTCAAAAATACAATTTAAATTGCATAAAAAAATCATTTACTATTTTGTTGTATTTAATTACATTTTAAAACATTAATTAAATAAACAATTTTAAATATGTCAATTTATTTGTCAGTTTATAAGTGATTCATTTATCTCCATTTTATGTTGAATTAATAAATTCATATCTTTTACTAAGTGTCACTCCTAGTCCTCCACACATATCGGATGTCTGAAATATACAGTTTAGTTGATTGGTTTGGCCAATCAGGATCAAGTATTCCATAAAGTGTAATTCCACTTGATCTTCACCCAAGTGATTCAATACAAACCCTTTTTCAAGCCACCCAGATACTCATTTAAGCTCTGCTGTTCACGTGGAAGCATAAAGACCTTCTGTTCTTTCCCCGAGAGAGTGTTTTGCTCACTGCTCCTCTCCTCTATACAGACGACAGACCCACAACACACACACGCACACACACACACAGGTTTGTTTTTATGGTTTATGGGGACTCTCCACAGGCGTAATGGCTTTTATACTGTACAAACCGTATTTTCTATTGCCCTACACCAACCCTACCCCTAAACCTACCCCTCACAGGAAACTTTCTGCATTTTTAGATTTTCAAAAAAATTTATAAGCCTTTTGAATTACGGGGACACTGAAAATGTCCTCATAAATCACCTTCTCGTTGTAATACCTATGTCATACCCATGTTATTATACAAATTTGTGTCCTCATAAACCACATAAACATGCACACACACACACACAGACACAGTCCTACACTATTACACACCAGCTGCCGATCAGCTCTTACCACACACTGTGCACCCTCACCCCGCCAAAGGAGGCGGATGATTTCATCAACCCAAACATGCTCCAGCATCATTCAGCGTGCTTACGGAGAAACCCATGTCAGCTCTTTACAGTCTGCTCCGTACCAAATCAGTGAAATTAGTCAAAATTCAGTCGAGCTGAAATCCATGCTTTCATTTCCAGTGATTTTCCATTTGTCGATTCCCTGAAATGGCTTTATTGAAATGCAGCTGAGATCGGTAGTCTGTAACGTCACTGCTCTTTAGAAGCTTAGTTGTCTGGCCCTGAAAGCATGTGTTTGTCTGGATTCCCAGCACTTGGCAGGACAGACTGCGGAGCTGAGGCTAACAATGATCTCTAATGGGACACTGTGTGTCTGTCCCAAAAGCTCAGCAGTGCTGCCGCTGTTGGCTGTTCATTGGCTGCCTCGCTTGTGTGTGTTTGTCTGTGATGGAGCGACTGAGGCGGAGAGAGAGAGGCTGGTTCTGAGAACTGGGCTCTTTGTCTAATCCCTTCCTGCCCAGGTCTGATGCCAGCCTGTTTGCCACCCCGCTGCCCGCTCCACAAAGGCAGTGCCCAGCTAGGTTTTTGTACATTGAGGGAAGGGGTCAGGCTGGCAGTGGTGCTTGTCGCCAGAGCCTGTTTCCGTATACCGCTGCCAAAGAGCTCGACAGAGGGCGGTGACTCAAAGAGCACAGCTAGAACATTGGGTGCCGAACATAAGGCCCTGCTGGACCATGTTGCCCTGTTTGAAGCGTTCCTTTAATCTCTCCTTCACCTTTTCTCTCTCTCGCACACACATGCACATGTGATCTAGATGCCCTCTTTTTTTTGCCTCATCGTTTCAGAGTAACTGTGGTGAGATGTTACGGATTCGGCGGGTTCTGATGAACTGCCCGGAGATCATCAGCATCGGCCTGGTGTGGGACTCAGATCACTCTGATCTAGCCGAAGACGTCATCCACAGCCTGGGCACGTGCCTGCGATTGGGTGATGTAAGACTCTTGCATGCACGGACAACACACTATCATTGTTCCTTTTTGTCACCACTTCAACGCAATAACCTTGAGCTTCCAGCTCCCTCTCTCTTATGCACAGTTCAGGACAAGAGGAGGAAACACAGTGTACTCTTTGTCACATTCAATATCTCTGTGGCCCCACTGTTACAGCATTCTCACATCAACTTCATGGCAGGGTTGTGTGCCATTCTGTGTTAAACAGAATGCAAAACTTGAATTTAAGTGCATAAAAAATAGAATGAAATTCAAAGAGACTAATATAACAAGTGTTTTCATGCACACAGCATATGGAATAATGGCTGGCTAAAACTCAGCTTTTCCATCACAGGATAAAATACTTTTTAAAATATATTCATGTAGTTGGAATCATATTTCACAATATTATAGTTTTACTAAATTTTTCATCAAATAAATGCAGGCTTGGTGAGATTAAGAGAATAAGTGATAATACTAATAATAAACTATGATTATTATAATATTTGTTGATGTTAATATTATATTTGTTACATTTTTATTCATGTTATCAGTCAAAACACTTAGTTTACCAAAATGTTATTATTTATTCCGTATGTTATGTAGTAAATAAATTAAAATTTTGATGTGACTGTTTGTTTAATTTTATAAAATTGCATTTTGTATCTTATGGCATAATTGAAATCTATTTGGATACCTGTCTTTTGAACTTAAATGAATATTTATCAGGAAATAAATGGGCATAATTTGCCAAAATTAATGATATAATTGTTTTATTGCTAAAATAATGAAATTGTTCTGTTGTGTTTTAAAAAAAAATTGCAATTCAGTGAAATCCTCCTGTCACTGCAATTCAAATTACATCAATTACGTCTAATTCAACATCCTGTGTATGTGTGACCAATTCCATTCAAATTCACACTCATGACTTGAAAGAGAGACAATTCTTTAATACATTTTTAACCCTTTTTGAAGGGACCTTGTTTAGAGATACTCTAAATCTGATTGGTCCTCATGGACAATTCTCTCTTTATGTGCCCGCCCTCCAGCTGTTCTACCGTGTGACAGATGAGAGGGCCAAACAATCGGAGCTTTACCTTGTGGGCATGGTTTGCTACTACGGCAAGCATTACTCCACCTTCTTCTTCCAGACCAAGATACGCAAGTGGATGTACTTTGATGACGCACATGTGAAGGAGGTAATAACGTGTCTGTCTCTTGCACCTGATTCTAGAGTTTCTAATTGTGAATGGAGTGTGCGGTTAAGTCTGAATGTACCAAACCTCACAGATCGGACCTAAGTGGAAGGATGTGGTGTCGAGATGTATAAAAGGCCACTACCAGCCACTTCTGCTGCTGTACGCTGACCCCCGAGGGACGCCCGTGTCATCGCAAGACATGCTGGCAGCGCAGCTGGACCTGCACCACAGTAGCAAGGCCGGCTATGACAGCGAAGACTCCGGTGAGACTAAGAGGAAGTGAGAGGCAGAACGGAGAGGTAGAGGGTTAAACAAAAAAGAAACAATACTACTTATCATCGCTTATTCTTAGAATCAGATGAAGGAATAGTTCAATTAAAAATGAAAATATAGTCAATCCAAATCCATATAAAACATGAAATAACAAAGGGCTAATTTTAAAGATTGTGATTGGTCTTTTCCATTAATTTAGATTTGAATGGGTACTAAAGTTTTCAAGCATGAAAATGAGTCCAAAACATCATAAAAGTGGTCAAAACAGCGCTAAAACATACAGTAGATTTTTTTCAACAGAAAAAACTGTTTAGTTTATTTAACTGTCCTTGGTGCATTCATGAGAGATCTAGCGATGTCTGAATAATTCTTTTGAATCAGATCTTTTCACTGAATCAGATGATCTTGTTCATTCATGCAATGGCCTGATCTGGTTACAAGGTTCACAACTGAGTCACCTAGCCTCACAGCAATTCTTGAGTTAACGGTTCACTGGAGAGGAAGATTTTCAGTAAATAAAAACAAAACATTCTGTATCTCACACAGTGCTATAATATGACTTTAAAACAGTGGTTCTCAACCTTTTTAACTCCATTGTCCACTGAAGGCCCTATGACTTTTCCAGTTTTTCATGATTTTGCTCATTAGGATTAAGGATGAGGATTTTCAAAAGTATTGTTTATTCACAATTTCTACATGATAAAATATTTTAAAACTTGGCATGCATACAAAAGTGTATATTTATTTTAAAAATGCCCATAGAGCTTTATGATTTTATTAGTTTTCATGACTTTTCCAGGTCTAGATATAACACTTTTAAAAATTAGGCCTCATACAGTATATCCAGGTTTTAATTCAAAGGGGGTGAATTAAAGTAAGAAATATTTCAATTTTTACTTGCTTTTCTGTATATTAATGCTTGTTTTGTCCTATTCTTAATCATTTCAGGTCACGTAATCATTTTATTTTAGGGTCCTTTGGAAGTTCGCTGAGGCCCCCTAGTGGGCCCCAGCCCCCTGGTTGAGAACCATTGATTTAAAAAAAAAAAAACAATATAGTGGAGTTTTTACTTTCATTTTTTAATTCTGAAAGCTTTAGTCCACATTCATTGTGATTGCATTCATTTTGAATGTAGGTTTGGAATGACATGAGGATTTTAATTTTTGGGTGAACTATCCCTTTAAAATCTGACTTTTGAGCAGTTGCAGCTGGATAGCTGAAGCTAACTTTCTCTATTTCTAAATGCCCTCTCTGCTGTTGTTGTCGTCGTCAGGGAGGGAGCCCTCAATTGCAAGTGACACACGCACAGACTCTTCCACAGACAGCTACAGCTACAAGCACTCTCGATCACACCATGAGTCCATGGCCTCCCATTTCTCTTCTGACTCTCAGGGAACAGTGGTGTGTAATCAGGACAGCAGCGGTTCCCAGAACAGCATGGACACTGCAGGTACTTTAACAAACACACACACTCTCTAATATAAATTCCACTGGTAAACGCGTCATGCTGAATCAAACTGAGAAGGCACATGTCCTATCAAATTTACTACTTAAAACTTTTATAAATGTGATTTATTTTTTTTCAGGGGAGGTTCTTAAAGACCAGGCCACTCCCCTTTGTACGCCAAGGCCCTCTTCTACTGGCCATCTGCAGGACTATAAAGAGACTGTGAATATGATCCACAGCAGACCCCTCTCATCCTCCTCTAGCTCAGGGGTGGGCGGCTCGGAGGCTGGGGCGCGGGCGAGAGATTGGGAAGACGAGAGTACCAGCAGCGAGTCCAAGTCCAGCTCCAGTGGAGGGCGCTATCGGCCCACATGGAGACCCAGAAGAGAAGCCCTGAACATTGACAGTATCTTCAGCCGGGAAAAGCAACGGCCAGCCGGCTACGCCACGCTTGGACCTTCCCCGCTGCTGGAAGACCTGATGTCACCAGGGCACAGTGAGCTGGTCACAGGGGCTGCGGCGGAGGGGTCAAGCATTGCAGCAGCAGAGATGGGGGGCATGACTGATGGCTCAGGGGGCGTGCCAGAAACGGAAGTGGAGCATCTACCGATCCCGCCACCTTTAAGAGGTGTGGAACAGCAGCCTCGGCTGATCCAGAGGATGGAGAGTGGCTACGAAAGTAGTGAGAGGAACAGCAACAGCCCCATCAGCATGGACATGCCCCTCAGCGACAACCCAAGCACCAGTGCTCACAGGTAACACAGCAACTTGGCCAAAACGAACTAACCTATATATCGGGTGTGCAGTCCGTATAAGCTGTGAATGCTCTGTGTACCCAAGCCATTTGAGATAATGAGTGTGGGGACTGGCTGTTTAATATTAACATTACTGTAAAATCCCTTGTCAAGTAATGTGTAATATGAAGCTCACATGTATGTAATGGTCTGGGATTTGTTTATTTATCAAACCAATTTTCTGTAAATCTGTGCCAGTTACGGAGGGATTCAGGTGAGCGGATCCACAACAGCTTTGGCGCCTATGCTCTGTTACTATGAATCATCATTATTGTTCTGTGTTCTCATTGGTTTGTTGGCATGTGGGTGATTTCATGCGCAAGAAATACTGTCCAAGCAGAAAAATGTTTTGTTGCTGCCAGATCTCGATTACCAAAAATCACACTGTATTTGAAGCAAAACTAACTTGACTAAATTTTCAAATCACAATTTAAAATATTTTAATTTAATAATATTTCACAATATTACAGTTTTTAATTAGTTTTTGAACAAATAGTAAATGCAGCCTTGGTGAGAGACTTCTTTTAAAATACATTTAAAAAAATTACTGAACAATAGTTTTGATGGCAGTAAGAAATGAAAATCGATTATATTTTTAAAAAAATGATGAAACCAGACTGTTTGTATATTTATATATCAGTTCCTGCTACAAATGCATCTTAATCAAATTATATTTCAGTTTTAAATTATTTTAATTGAATGATTTGATTAACTTTTTTTTGGTGGGCATAATGTGTCATGAAATGCATTACGTTGATGAATAATATACCTCAAATACCTGCTGCATCATGTTTGATATTTTCAACACTATATTTCTTTAAATAATGTATGAAATATGAAGCAGAAATAAGCAAGCATCACCCAGACCTGCTTCATATACTGTATGACTATACAACAAATCTATTTCATAGATTGTTTCTGATGGTGTTAATATTCACAGTGTTGGTTAATTGAAAAATGCCAACAAAACTGTATTGAATATATCATAAATATCTGTCCTGGCTTGTACCATAAGCCTTAAAGTTGTAGTATGCGCAGACAAATTTACCACAGAGACATTGAGAATCACTCTCATGATGACTGAGTGAATGACATATGCTCTTCTCCGCCTCAGGGACAGCGGCAGTAAGAGACCTGTGACTTCAGGGCCCTCCTGGCGCACAGTGCCCAAGTCCAAAAGCAGCAGTGCCATCCTGCAAGACCTCAAATCGCCCACCTGGAGCAGCAGTCCACTGAGTTTGGGTGAGTCACCACCGGTCTTTGCCTATGTGCATTAACCCACTATTGCTACAGTACAAGGTGTTCATTTCAAGTGTTTAACTAGGATATGAGTATTACTATTACTTATTTATGTCTTTGTGTATGTGCAGGAGAGGGGCGCAGCGAGCTGGATGAATTGCAAGAGGAAGTTGCTCGCAGGGCCAGGCAGCAGGAGCTCCAGAGGAAGAAGGAGAAGGAGAGAGAAGCAGCGCAGGGCTTCAACCCCAGACCCAGCAAGTTCATGGACCTGGACGAACTTCAGCACCAGGGTAAATGCCACACAGGGCCAAACAGCAGAAACCAAATGAAAGGAGCTAGAATTTGTGTTTAAAGAGAAAATCCCTTCTAATCCCTTCTACAAAAACCAGCTTAAACCAGCCTAAAGTGGTTAGCTGGTTTCTCAGCCTTGCTAATCTGGTTAGGCTGGTATGTTTTGATGGCTTTCTAGGGATGTACAATGAATCAATAACATATAGATCATCTATTGAAGTTAGACATTTTAAAATTTTTGTTTTTGTTTTTATGGCTGGCTATACTGCTTACATCGGTCTGTTTTAATGGGTCTAAGGTGGTTTTGTCCAGTTTTCACCGACCAGCTAAACCAACTTAACACCAGGTTGGCTATGCAGGGAGACCAGCTAGATCAATTTAAGGCCATCTGGGAGACCAGCAAACCACTTTAGGCTGGTTTCCAGGGATGCCCACTACATCAGTAACATATTGGATATTGATTGATATTAGACATTTTTCATTGATTTTTTTATGGCTGGCTAAGCTTTTTAAGCTGGTCTGATTTGATGCTTCTAGGGGGCTTTACATACTTTTCACCTGACCTGGCCGACCAACCAGCTAAACCAAATTAACACCAGCTTGGCCATGCTGGAAGATCAGCTAGACCAATTTAAGATCAACAAACCAGTTTAAGACCAGCTAAGACCAGCAGATGACTTCAGGTTTGTTTTTAAGGATGCACAATTGTTATTATTATCGGTACCATATTGGTTATTGGTTGATATTAGAGATTTTTGAATAGCTTTTTTTCTGATGGCTTTCTATGCTGTTTAGGCTGGTCTGATTTTAAGGGATAGTTTACCCAAAAATGAAAATTACCCCATGAATTACTCTCAAGCCATCCTAGGTGTATATGACTTTATTCTTTCAGACGAATACAATCAGAGTTATATAAAAAAAATGTCCTGGCTCTTTCAAGCTTTATAATGGGGGGAAAGGGGGGAATGGGGGGTCCTACATCATCCGCTGGAATGCCACTTTCTCATAAACGCGAGTATGAGAGCTAGCGGAAGCTAGAGATTGCGGTTTATAAAGTTTTAAATATGGATATTTTTCTTACACAAACGCTTCGCTTCGCTTCAGAAGGCTTTTATTAACCCCCCTGGAGCTGTGTGGACTACTTTTTATAATGGATGGATGTACTTTTTGGGCTTCAAAACCTTGAACCCCATTCACTGCCATTATAAAGCTTGGAAGAGCCAGGATAATAAACAATTTTAACCTAACACTGATTGTATTTGTCTGAAAGAAGAAAGTCATATACACCTAGGACGGCTTGAGGGTGAGTAAATAAATAATTTTTGGGTGAATTATCCCTTTAATGCTTCTGGGGTGGTAGTTTACATACTTTTGACCTGATCAGGCCGACCGATCAGCTAAACCAACTTAAAACCAACTTGGCCATATACTGGGAGACCAGCAAACCAGTTTAAACCAGCAAAGGCCAGCAAACCTATTTGGGCTAGTTCAAACCTTTTTTTTCCAGCAGGGATAGTTTGGAAGTAAAAGTTTACTCTTTCCTGTCTTCTCAACTCTAATGAAATGTCTCATGATCTTTAAAAAATAAAAATAATTTAAATATCATTGTAACACCATGAATTATAATATAACTCTTGTAGATGGGAGCCATAGCATCAAAAACATATTGTGTGTATAGTGCCTATACACTCAAATCTTACATTTTAATCTTGAATCAGAGTTCCCCCTAGTCAGCGTGCATGATGTGTTTACAAACATGTCAAATTGTGTTTGAGTTGTGTTGGTGGCAGTCATCAGACTGTGTGTGCTTGTGTGTCAGTGGACGTCTCCATTCCTGGTAAGCCGTGTAAACGTTGTGAGTGGCGTGTTCCCGGGAACACACGGGGGCTCCTGTGAGCAGTGTTTGTGCGTGTATGAGCGTGTTCTCAGAAGCCTGGCCTTGGTGTGTTAATTGCAGGGAAGGGGGGCAGTTTTGAGCACTGCCTGGCGGAGGCTGACTCTCTCTTAGAGCAGTCACTGCGTCTGGAGCAAGCTGGGGATACAGCTACAGCCCTGGCGCTCTCCCACCATGCTGTGTGTAAGTAATTCTAACCTGCCTCTGCTTGCTACGCCCAACTCCTCCACTCTCCACTTGGGTAACCGTCACTTACCCAATATATGCACTTTCTAGGTTTATTTGGTAAGAATGCAGCTCCCAAAAACATTCATGTCCTCGCACCATAACACAAACCCACCAGTAATACCCCAACACTGCCTTCCCTTCCTGCAGCACCCTGTGTGTGTTTGCTTCTATTTGTCTCTCTGTGTGCTATTCTCTGTTTATGTGCGTGGCATATTATTTTTCATTATCCTGTCTTTGTTTAGTCTAGGGATGCACAGTATATCAGTACTACATTGGTTATTTGTTGATATTAGAGATTTTATTTTTTTTTTCCAATAGAAATTGGATATTTTTCTGTGCATGCTATTTTCACTTATTTCAGCATTTTTGTATATGATCCCTAGCAAAAAAGTTATATATTTAAAATACATTTATTTCATACTAAGTATAGTTCAAATCTATTATTTACTGGTATATCGCTCAAGACTTATTGATATAAAAAGTATAATTAAACTTTATTTGAAGTACTACTTGTGCACAATGCACATTTCTTAATATTAAGCCTAAAATGTGTTTTAATGATACTATGGATGAGGATTGTATGATCTTTAGCACTTTAAATAGATATTTTAAGATATTTAAAGTGTACCTTAAGTATACTTGCAGTAGTTCCACTTTAGCACAATCAAAGTATATCTTCAGTTGAACTTCAGAACTACTTCCGCACAACTGAAGTGCATTAAGCACAAAATTTGTTCTTTCATTTTAGCAGACTTTAATTATACCAGTGCAGTGTACTAAAAGTAAAATTGCAGGTTTTTTTATTAAGTACATAAATATGTAAATGTACTGTATTTGTAGTATACTTAGAATAAAATACGTAAATGTATTTCAAATACATTTTAGTATATTTATTTTTCACTCGGTTTTGTCATTTAAAAACACTAATGAATTATTAACACTGCTAATTGTAATCTTTAACAAATCTCAAAATAAATATCCATTTTATACTGTATATTTCAATGTTTTGATGCCTAAATTAACTTTGTATTTAAAGCTTTAATTTAGTACCTAGTGTTTTTTTTTTTTTTTTAATGATTTAGAAAAAATAGTATGAAATTTGAGGTATTGATAACATGGAAATAATATTGAGCCTATTTTAATGTATTTTATTTATTTTTTATTGTTTACTTTTTATTTTAATAATTTTATTTTTACCGTTTATATTTCTTTATTTTAATGTAATATTCCGTGCATCCCTGTTTCTGTTCACTTAGTTCTGTGATCAGAGTCACCATTTGCACAGATTTTCACAATCTGATTGGATGACTGGGCATGTGGCTCTGCCTGTTGATTGTTAATACCGCCGATAGTGGCGTGCTATTGAAAAGCACTTGACTTTGGCCATTTGAGAGCCCTGATCTGTGCCAGACAGAGGCTGGAACCATTTTAATCCTTTTTTTTAAACATTTTATTCTGTGTGTGAGCCCTCCATTTGGAACACCATTTGAATGGGCCTCACCCACAGCCACACGCAAACTTAAATCCATTCTGGATTCACCGTCATAACATTCCCAACCTCTATAAATCCCTTTTGGTGGAAGGATTGGATTGTGATTGTGCTGAGCCGTCATGTGAGGATACTGCCGTGCAATCCTGTCTAAATCTCTCAGCACTCTCCAAATTAAAACAAAAAAGGTGACTGTGTATCTCATGCTTACCTGTAACAACAGCATTTTTGTCCGAAGCGCTGGCATACCTACTTGAATGATTAATGAGTGGAGAAAAATTTCAGCCATGCAAAACTCTCCACAAAGCTATTTATACCTATCCAGGTCGGCAAACCCTCCATCTCTGTCTCGCTTTGCTCACGGTATGCGTGTATATGTGTGTGCATGTCTGTATATGTGAGGCGCAGCACTAATATATGTAAAGGGAAGACAGCTTTTGTAAATATTTCCACTCTTCAGATCCCCACAGACCTTTCACTGTCTCGTCGAGACAGATTCAATTTGGCCCAACGCACATACAGGCCTCTAAGTTCCAGTGGCAGCCTATAAGGTCATGCCTTCACTATATAGAAGAATAGTTTCCTGTTCCTCTGGCCAAACTCCAGCAATCCCAGTACACCACCCGCCCCTGTTGAGGAGAAGGGGCCAGTGCCCAGAAGAGCCCCCATATGGCAACCCCTGTGTGCATCTTCCCAGCCCTGCACCAAATTGACCCCTCCAGTTGCTGCCCGTCATTGGTCCTCTTGGAGCCTAGACCGTCCTGATGCTGTTGTCAGCCCCTATGACACACCTCCTGATCAGAACCAGCAGACAGGACCTGCCCTCTCTCAACACACACCTGGAAGACACCTTGCTCCTCACAGTCCCATGAGCACCAGGAAGAAGAACATCCCTAAGTACTCAAATTTCCAGAGCATGGAGTTGGAACCCACAGAGGCCGAGGACCAGGAACTCTCTGAATTGGACTCACTTTACCAGTCTAGTCTGCAGGCTGGCCCGGGTCCTGGCCGAGCCCTGTGTGGTACCAGCTCACCTGCTGTTTTGAGACCAGGTAAATTAACATCTTAAATTGCCTCACACTAAGTGAGTTTACATGCACTTTAAAAGTTCTGTCTCTGCCAGACTACAGTTGCGGTCACATGTACTGTACCATTGTTTGGCCACTTTTCACAGGCAAAATGTAGTAATTTCAATAGGAACCATGCAATCGGGAATTTTGCATGAAGGTAAAATATTTCCCCACTTAGGTTTCACATTGGTTTCAAGACGGTCATGTGAATCCCCTGGCATCAAGATGCACACAGTGGCGTAGCGGACAGGCACGCACTGTGAGGGGGCCACCGCGTTAACCTCTCCGTGCTGGGGTGCGTCAAAAGACGATGATCATGTATCGACGATAGCCAGAGATATTGTCAAAAGCATCAAATATTGGCAAATTTAAGAGCATTTGGCATTTCCAGCTAATGTAGGCCTGTTACATTCTTATTTATTATTAGGTTACTTTTATTATTAAATTAATATTACAATTAATTTCCCCCGCAATAATTTCATAGCGCATTACCGTATAACTGATGCACTGTGAGGATAATAAAAGATCCAGCTATTAGCTTACTCCTCATTGAAAATGATTTTAAAAAGGTCTTTCAAAACAGGTTTATTACACAATGAATTATAGGCCTACAATTAAAACTATTAAAGGCACAATATGTAAGATTTTTTTTATTAAAATATCCAAAAATCACTAGAACAGTGTTATGTATTTTGCTGACTTGTGTACTTACATTATCCCGAATGTTTTGAAGAATGTTTAAATCCAGAGAAATAGCCATTTTAAATAGTGGCTCGTCCCTGGTCATTGCGTCGCCTGCCAATCACATCATACACCCTCGATTTCTGGTTTTGTTTTCTAGAAAACATGTAAACACCAAAGACGCTTTGATATGTTATGCATTTTATTACACAGTTGACAACTGCACAGAGTAGCATTATAACAGAACTTTCAAATGTCTCTAGTATGACAAAACAGCGATGCTTTACCCCACATACGCACGACCTGAAGGAGCAGAAACGGTCGACTGTGGCATAATAAAAGCTCAGCTGCTTTCGAGCCATGTGTCACGCTCGTTCAGTGGCCTCGTTTCGCTTCGACGGCTCTGCTTAATACTACGACATTAATAAATCTTTTAATACATTAGCTCATCCATGAACATGATTTCTGCCCGAGTCCCGTCAGATTGCATCGGCTGTGGGGATGAAGACCACAACTCCCATGATTCCACACTCAGTCACGGCGTCATCAAGCTACGCCTTTGTTTCTTTGGGTGCGTCTCAATCAGCTCCCTTGTTCAGTAGTCAGGGCACTGATCAGGGAGTCGGCCATTTTAAGGGCTGTCTCAATCGCAAAATCCTTCCAGTGCACTGGAACGTTCACTCCCTGAAAAATCCCACAGTGCACCACAAAAAACTAGGGAGCATCGGTGCTCACTATGCTCCCTTACCGGAAACAACATTACATTTCTTAAGCGTGAAACATAAACCACACAAGTCAATGCGATAAATATAATGACACGCGATAGAAGATTTTAAAAGACAGACTGTTTTTTTTGTATATTTCAACATAAACACATCGCTAGACAGGTGATGAACACATCTACTTATCATAATATTCGGCTGAAATGTTGTAAGAACATGCAACAGAACGATGTGTTTAAAGAGAATAAAAAATAATATAATAATTAGATTGGTCCTGCCTGTTGTTTATTAATTCCAGTGATGACGTTCTACTATGTTGTCCATTGACGCTGTACATAATCATGTCGCTGGAATTCAAGTGATCACTGTCCCAACGTGCAGTGAGTCAGGGCGGCGTCATCAAGCTACGCCTTTGTTTCTTTGGGTGCGTCTCAATCAGCTCCCTTGTTCAGTAGTCAGGGCACTGATCAGGGAGTCGGCCATTTTAAGGGCTGTCTCAATCGCAAAATCCTTCCAGTGCACTGGAACGTTCACTCCCTGAAAAATCCCACAGTGCACCACAAAAAACTAGGGAGCATCGGCGCTCACTATGCTCCCTTACCGGAAACAACATTACATTTCTTAAGCGTGAAACATAAACCACACAAGTCAATGCGATAAATATAATGACACGCGATAGAACATTTTAAAAGACAGACTGTTTTTTTAGTATATTTCAACATAAACACATCGCTAGACAGGTGATGAACACATCTACTTATCATAATATTCGGCTGAAATGTTGTAAGAACATGCAACAGAACGATGTGTTTAAAGAGAATAAAAAATAATATAATAATTAGATTGGTCCTGCCTGTTGTTTATTAATTCCAGTGATGACGTTCTACTATGTTGTCCATTGACGCTGTACATAATCATGTCGCTGGAATTCAAGTGATCACTGTCCCAACGTGCAGTGAGTCAGGGAACTTACCAGTGACCGAATTTGTGTAC